TGTAAGCCGCCCAGAGTCCCCCATTGTGGGGAGATGGGCGGGGACAAATCAAATAAATAAATAAATAAATAAATATTGAATATTAGAGACATCTCTAGCCAATTAAACTGATGCAAACTTATTATCAGCTTGTTTCTCCAGCAAGAGCAGTAACAGCTGTGTTTTGGAGGCTATTGCACAAGCCAGCATCCATGTTTGCATGAACCACACAAAAGTTGGACAACTGTGTGTCTGTGGCTTGAAGGCGGGAGATCAGATTATGAACAGAAATAAATTATTGCAGCAGAAGTCCAGGCCTGCTCAGGCCCAGGGAACTTGGATTCATAAATTCACCAATGGGATACCAATTTCTTGAATTATCCTCCATTCCAGTGTTCTCACGCTGCTATGAATGATTTTCAGATGCTTTGAAAAGGAAACCTCTGAGACGCTTCAGCCTTCCAAAGTCCATTTCCATCTGCCTATCCAAATCCAGGTAAAAAGCTTGTTCTTTGCCATTAAAAAGAAGGCAAGCCACACTATCAAACATGGATCTTCAGAATAGTTCCTTGCAAACAATGCTGAGAATATCTACAGATTTTCAGACATAGATAGAGCCCATCTAAAACTTTTATGAAATCAGAATGCTTACTGTGCCAACATCATCTGAACCATTTCTGTGTCCTTCTCTCCCTCCCTCCCTCCCTTCTAACACAAGTTGTTTTTAAGGATGAGTTCATTCACCTCATACTACAGTACTGGGATCCCATCACATTTTACAAAATCATTGTCATAACTGAAGCCTTCGTTTACTACAGACTTTTTAATTTGCTAGGAAGACAGAACATTTCTGGATGAAAAGTCTGTAATTCTTCCCTCCTTCCCTCGCTGGAGAAAAACAAAATAAACTGTAGCAGACTTAGCAAAATCTGTTTTAGGTAGAAGGAGATTTAGCACATATGTCATCTTTTGCTGTGGCTGTTTGCCTCACCAGCCAACAATTCTTCACCTCTTTGATCCAGTTTGCCAGTTACCAAATAAACTATGGTTCCATTTGTCCAAGTTTCTTGCTTGGCCTGAGTGTCTCTGCCCCCTGGCCCTGAGGAAGTGGGTATGATCTTGGCCAGTCTTGTGCAGCACAACAGTGTCGAACTGAGTACCATGGAAAACCCACAAAGCAGGAAAGATGCAGTGTAGTTGCCAGTTGTATCCACAAGCCAACCTGTAGATAACACCGAAGACTAGTTCATGTATTTGACTTGTTCACATAATTTTGTGAATCAAGGTCCATTGACAATAAGTTAGGTGGGTTTATACAATGTGGTATAAACTGTGGGGTACAAATGACAGCGGCTAGGATGTCTTTTTTTCTGAAACTAGCAAAGTGTATGAACCCAGCCAACAGCTGTTGAAGACACAGATTTCATTTTCACTACTCTTGCAAAAAAACCAACACTATCCTAAGCTATTAAGTGACACATCCATTCAAATTCAAAGGTATCGTAAGTTAGAGACACATCTATTCAACTGGCCCCGACCATGTTACCCTTTAGGGAGGCACTGAAGATGGATGTCCCCTTGGGTTTGGGGCCAGGATGTCTATGAGCTTGTCTTGTGAGGTGTGACATGGTGGGGCTCCTCAAAATGTATGTTTTCTTGGTGTGACTTTTGTGTCCTTTCATGGGTCTTATTCTGCTTTTATTGCTGTCCACCCATTAAGCTCTTAAATGAATGAATGAATGATCTCCCTGCAGAATCAAAACATTTCACACCTCCACTCCACCATTTCCAC